GGGGGGGGGGGGGGGGGAGCAGCCCCAATAATTTAGAAATACCTATACTGAGTCTGGTACCAAATATCACAACACAGAAAAATTTTTTCTATATATTTCTTCGTGCTATATATTATAAAAAAAATATAAATTTTTTTTCCGTATTGATATACAGTTATATCAACACTGATGGAAATTGGGAAAACTCTAAATTGTGTGAAAACACTCTGCCCTCCGGCATCAACAAAACATAACATAAAAACACTGAAATACAGGAGAAGTTCCGAAGCTTAGTAAAGATTGCAAGGTCGTCCCTATTGTGTTTTCCTTCCGTGGTTGCGCGCCAAGAACAACTTTTCAGATGGTGCTTCAGTTAAGCGCTGCATTGTTGCGAATAAATGTGGCACTCATTAGAGGATGGCGCTCTCTAATACATTTTTCTCTCATATGTGGCGCTTAATCAGAGGTCAAGCTTAATCACAGGTGGAGCTCAATCAGTGGCAGCACTTGAATGAATAAATATGTTAAAAACACAGTGGTTATCAGATCTATTTGTCCTACAAAATGTCCCTGTCAAGCATGCTAATAAAAGCCATCTAGAAAAAGAAAATTGCCTGGCAGGGGGATAAAGAAACAATTTTGTGATTTTTGTACCAGTCTCTTGTAAACATGTTGAGAATTTCAATTTTCATTCTGGTTTGACTTCGTCCTGGTCTCACGATTGTGACGGATATAGACTAGGGGTATTAAACTGGATGGCCAAGTCTATTGATATCACCCGCATATAATAATTGTTGAAGAAGAACATAGAAGGGTTTCCATTTCATGTGCACATTTTGTACAATAAGAGCAGTCGCAAAGAATGCAACTACATGCTCTCTGGTAGGAACCGAACTGCTGCCCTACGCTATAATAAACGCCTAAACGACGGTATAATATTAATAATGTTGATATTATTATATACAGTATTATAACTATATAAAATACAAAGTACAGACCTTTTCTCGTTTTCCCCTTTCTTCGCATGACAAGTCTCCTTCGGTTTCAACATTGCTATTCTCCATAGTTCCTTCACTTTCTTGTATAATATTATTCTGTTCCATAATTTTTAATCCTAAAATAATCCACCAGCAGCACGTTCTCGCTAAGTGTTCAATTAGCTGTGTATCCGTTTGACAGCAACTTAGATTCTTGTACAGATTTTCACCGCTATCATTCGCGTTTGCGACTGTCTCGACCGAACATCAAAACTAAAATGCTCACGCTTCGAAACTCAGACGTCTTTTAGTCTAAAACAACTACAGTACATTTCGTTTTAATTTTGCAGCGACAGTTCGCAAGACTTTACTACACACATGCAAGGTACACGTGAATTTCAGATTTCATTACACGTGAGATCACAATCTGACCTCAAATTTCCATACACCTGCCATTCCTGCCACACGCTAATTATTTCCGATTGTTGTCAAGGGGATCACCACTGATCACGCGAGCGTGTGCTAGCTAGACTCAAGTCACGCGACACACAAAATTTATCCTTATAAACTGGAATTTTGCGGAATTTTAGCAAAATTTTAGCGAATTGTTGGTTTCGAAAAGTGAGGAATCTCGGAGCCTTTAACAAGGAATTCTCTATTTTCTTATGAAAGTTCATTTGCATAATTCATTTGCTTTAGTTTTCTGATTTTTTCGTCTCTTTCCCCCCACTTTCAAGCCAAAACAACACTATTTTTATAGACTGCAACATTTCTGCGACAGTATGTATCAATTTACCTGTTTTCCTGAAACGTACGAGATGCTATTTCCGAGTGAAGAATTGAGCGTGTGAAATATAAACGTATGGGTTCGCGGACTATTCACGTGCTGTGAAAACGTGATGACTCTAGATGAGAGTCATCAAACATGCACCAACGCACGGCATTTGTCGTCTTCGCTTGCCATCGCTTCTCTGTCTTCGCTTGGTTCTATGTGCTTCGGAGCTGCCAAATTGACCATTTCTCTACGCAGTTATGATATCGAAATAAAAAATATAGAATGAATGGTCTGATTTACATATTTATTTACTAATTCGCCACCAAAACGTTACACAAAAAGTGAATAACAAATACGATAAAGTTTGAGGCGATGCCAATGTACGGTGTATGGGTAAATATCACGATTTTGGCCATCTCACTCGATATAATTAATATGTAATTTTTATATATTTTGTAGACCTATACTATTATTGATATACATACACATATATAAGGGCTGTTTACATGAGCCCGGCTTAACTAATTTTAAATTGAAAATGCTCTATAAAACGTGCATTTGACTTGCGTGACAAACCTTACAGTATTAACAACAGTAATAAACAACTTTTCCCCGCCATATTTGGCTTGATAAAGTTTCATGATAATACACATATATATATATATATATATAGAGGATATTTCACGGTGGCACGGAAATATGACTTTTATTTTCGAGTGGTGAAAACAATATTTTACGAACGAGCGCAGCGAGTGAGTAAAATATTGTTTTCAACACGAGAAAATAAAAGTCATA